CCCCGCTCTTCCCAAGCGCCGGAATTCCACCCCCTATTCCAGGAACATGGGAGCAGGGAGAGGATTCCTGGAATTCCTTGGGAATGGATCCCCTATTCCAGGAATTTGGGAGCAGGGAGAGCGAGGATATTCCCGGAATTCCCTGGGATTTGGGAATGGATCCCTCACCCACGGATCCCATTTTTTTCTGCTTTTGGACACGCAAACGCCGGAATTCCGGAATTCCACCTGGTGCTCCGGGAATTTGGGAGCAGGGAGAGAGAAAGGATATTCCCAGAATTCCCTGGGATTTGGGAATGGATCCCTCATCCACGGATCCCATTTTTTTCCGCTTTCGGACGCGCAAAAACACCGGAATTCCGGAATTCCACCTGGCACGAGGAGGGAATTTGGGAACAGGGAAAGAGAGCAGATATTCCCAGAATTCCCTGGGATTTGGGAATGGATCCCTCACCCACGGACCCCATTTTTTCCGCTTTTGGACACACCAGAATTCCAGAATTTCACCCGGCGCTCTGGGAATTTGGGAGCACAGGGAGAGAGAGAGGATATTCCCGGAATTCCCTGGGATTTGGGAATGGATCCCTCATCCACAGATCCCATTTTTTTCCGCTTTCGGACATGCAAAACGCCGGAATTCCGGAATTCCACCTGGCACGAGGGGGGAATTTGGGAGCAGGGAGAGAGAGAGGATATTCCCGGAATTCCCTGGGATTTGGGAATGGATCCCTCTCCCATGGATCCCATTTTTTCTGCTTTTGGACACACCAGAATTCCGGAATTCCACCTGGCACGAGGGGGGAATTTGGGAGCAGGGAAAGAGAGAGGGAGAGGGGATATTCCCGGAATTCCCTGGGATTTGGGACTGGATCCCTCACCCACGGATCCCATTTTTCCGCTTTCGGACACACAAACACCGGAATTCCGGAATTCCAGAATTCCACCCGGTGCTCTGGGAATTTGGGAGCACAGGGAGAGAGAGAGAGGATATTCCCGGAATTCCCTGGAATTCCTTGGGAATGGATCCCTCACCCACGGTTCCCATTTTTCCGCTTTCAGACACACAAACACCAGAATTCCGGAATTCCACCCGGCGCTGTGGGAATTTGGGAGCAGGGAGAGAGAGAGGATATTCCCAGAATTCCCTGGGATTTGGGAATGGATCTCTCACCCATGGATCCCATTTTTTTCCGCTTTTGGACACACAAACGCCAGAATTCCAGAATTCCACCCGGCGCTCCAGGAATTTGGTAGCAGGGAAAGAGAGAGGATATTCCCAGAATTCCCTGGGATTTGGGAATGGATCCCTCACCCACGGATCCCATTTTTTCCGCTTTCGGACACGCAAACGCCGGAATTCCGGAATTCCACCCAGTGCTCCCGGCCCGAGGGAGGAATTTGGGAGCAGGGAAAGAGAGAGGGAGGGGATATTCCCAGAATTCCCTGGGATTTGGGACTGGATCCCTCACCCACGGATCCCGAGGCGGCGATGGCGGCCGCTTCCGACAGCACTTCCACGATTCCCGCCCGGATCGGGGCCGCGCTCCGGCTGTTGGCGTCCAAGTGGCCCAGGAGCTGCTGGATCACCAGGTGGGAATGCTGGGGCTGGAATAAAAAAACCGGGAATGTCACTGGGAATGTCATCGGGAAGAGCGGGAGGAGCCGGGGGAGGTTTCCCGGGAGGAATCCCGACGTTCCCAATGGAGGGAAAAATGG